GTTCGTGGGTTCAAGCCCCGCGTCGGGCTCTGTGCTGACTGCCAGCTCAGAGCCTGGAGCCTGTTTCAGTCTGTGACTCCCTCTCTCTCTGACCCTCCCCTGCTCACGCTCTCTCTCTCTCTCTCCTAGAAATAAATAAAAAAAATCATTTAAAAAAAAAAAGTATAATAGGAATAAACAAAATTAATACTTGGCCCAAACCCCATATTGAATTTTTGGCCTAAGGGGTAAGACCAATTGTATCCATGAAGTCAAGAGGAAGCCATTGATACTCCCATTCCCTCCCCCAGGAAGCAAAGACACTATATTAACAAAAACATCATATACAAAGGGGCAGGGAGAAATGGTAAAATCCGTGTCATTCTTGAAGAACTAAATCTATATTTCCATCATATCGCCATTTACTTCCCCAATCTGTCTACCTGGAAAAATAGGAATATGAAAAATACAGTAAAGTATTGTAAACTGAACATTTTAGTCTCATTTCAGATGTGGTATCTTTGGGAAAGTAGACATAAGTATCTTCAGGTAACTGAGGTCACTGGTTTTGCTAGTGCCTTCCTTCTATTCATCCCACTCAGAAAGAAAGTCTCAGAAACAGTTTGCATACACATGGAAGGATCCAATCCCACATCTATAGTTTTAGACCTGGATTGTGATTAGTCTCTGGCGCCTGTCACAAAAGAGCCTGAAGATACTAAGACTGTCTGGACATCCACATTTCCAGTATATCTAAGGCATCGTGTTAATTCTACTGAATGGGCAAGAAGCCAGTGTGTAGATAGATAGACAGAGAGATACATTGATAGATAGATTCTCTAGATCTAGTTATAATATACATATGACATCATTGCCAAGAAGAATCTAGCATGAAGTCATATATATATAGATATCTAGATCTAGATGATAGATGATAGAGAGATAGAGAGATAGATAGATATAGATAAGTCATTTAGATCTAGTTATATGACACCATGGACAAGAAGATTCTAGCATGATGTCATATATATAGAGATATCTAGATTTAGATGATAGAATCAGAAGAGCAGAGAGGGAGACAGAAACAGAGAGAGAGAGAGAGAGAGAGGGAGAGAGGGAGGGAGGGAGGGAGAGAGAGAGAGAGATCTGTCCCAGTTCCTGGTGCAGACCTCCTAAACCTTTGTAAATTCCTAAGTGCTGAGAACACTAAGAACATCTTTTTCCTACTGAGACAGCTTTCAGTGGCTCCTGGATGGGAGCTGGTCACCAGAAAGACCAAGCCATGAAAAAACCTTAGAAGGTTTCAGCCCCACTCTCCTCTCCAAAGAGGGGAGAGGTTGGAAACAGTGTCAGTAACTGATCACACTGCAGAGGGTGAGCCTCCATAAAATCTTAGGAGTATATGGTTTGGAGAGCTGTCAGGTGGCTGAACACATCCACATACTATGAAGGTGATGTACAGCAACTCACAGGGACAGGGGCGCCTGTGCCTGGGACCCTCCCAGACTTCACTCTATATATCGCTTCATTTGGCTGTTCATTGTATCCTTCATCATACCATTTAATAAACTGGTAAATACAAAAGAAAGTGTTTCCCTCAGTTCTGTAAATAACTTAGGCAAATTAATGGAACTTGAGAAGGAAGTTATGGGAACCTCCAATTTGTATCCTAGATTTTGGTGGTAACCTGGGGACATACTATCCTCAATTGGCATATGAAGTCAAGAGGGACGGGGCAATCTGTGAGACTGAGTCTTTAAGCTGTGGGATGTGACACTATCTCCAGGTCAATACTGTAGGCATTGAGTTAAATTATAGGACACCCAGATGGTGCTGTGGAGAATTCTTGATGTAAGAAAAAACCCCACATGTTTGGTCACCAGAAATGCTGTGGGTATTCTGCGTGACTAGTAAAAAAGACACACAAGAGAGACTCAGGAGGTAAAGGGAAAGCCTGAGGCTTTTCCAACCTGCAGAATGATGCTCCAGAATATAGCCTATAAAGATTCAAGGGATTGCCAGATCAATACAATATGTAGAGGTCCACGGCAATGGCTGCTAGGCTATCCCTCCAAACTAAAGTCAAATTCTTATAAATGGCACATCACAGCAAGAAAAAAATGATGCCCAACATTATAGAACTTTCTGGTTTCTAGAGGCTGCATGTTCCATACTTGGGAATACTATTCCTGCCCATGCGCTAGATGACAGACACAGTTGGGTTGGAGTGCAGTCTCTGTTGGGAGAGGACTCCCTGTTGGCAGCTAGTCCAGTGTCAGGGAAATCGTTCTGTTTTTAAACCTTAGGACATTGCATATATAGCCTGGTACACTGAAGGTGGCTATAGTCGGAAAACATACAAATGTCAATGGGACTATCACAGCACAGACCCTTGACTTCCGGAAGCAAGGCCATGCACTGCTCCAGAGAATTATGCACTCTTTGAGACATAACTCTTGACATGTTGTTTGGTCCTGATAGAAACCGTGCCTGACATTGGGTCATGAAGTGAGCATGTGCCCAAATCATGCTTCCTGAGCTATTGTATTGGAACCAACAAGTTATAAGGCCAGGCAGGCAACACACAATTCACTATAAAGCGGGAGTCATCATCTGGGATTGAGCATGCGCAGGACCCAATGGCACAAGAACCTGCACAAAGATGGAAGCCTGGACTCTCCCTGTGCCCATCCGCGGTGGCCCAGGTGCTGCTTTAGCTCACACTTATGGCTCTGTGGGCATGTCCATGATAACCAATTGACAGAACAGAAAAAAGCCGAGCCTGGGTCATAGGCATATAGTCTGGGTATGTGTGTGCAAGCTAAATGGATGGATGCAGAAGGAAAGAAGGAAGTTTGAGGAAGAAAGGACGTTAGTTTAGAAAGACGGCTTCAAATAGATTTGAATGTGTATTGAACTGCAGATTGGGTATATGGACCAGAAAGAAGACAAAAAAAGGACAAAAATCCAAAAATAACAAGGCAGTAAGTGAAAAGTCCAGCTTATCTATTAGATGTGGCCTATTTTCCTGATTCAGAAAAGCAAAGCAAAGAACCAAGATCAAGACAATGGGAATAAACAATGGGGTGGGGGGCGGGAAAAGGAAAGTTGGACTGGGGGTGGTGGGCAGTGCTCTTTAACAAATTTATCCATTCTAAAAACCATGCAGGTTATATAAAATCTTGTAGCTAATTTCAAACCTTTCCTTATTAATCTCCATCACTTTGATACAAAGAAACATCTAAAATAACACAAATCCAAAAGCTCTTACTCTCATCACATGTTGGTGTTTTGGGATACCATGTGCCATCTGCTTGACATGTAGCTTCAAACGTATATCTCTTATAACACGTATATAAAATTGCATCTCCCTTGAAAAAAGGACAGCTATTGGCAGCACTAGTTTTCTTTTCAGTTATTTGGCCATCGTTCTTCAGGTTTGGTATTGGGCAACATACCTCTAAAAAATTAAAAATGAGACTGAAGGTTAATAAAATCACTGCAATGAGACTTTGATGGATAATAAGCTCATTCCCACCTTTTGGGCATGTCACCACCAAAGAGAACTTAGAGACAGAAGAGGGTTCCAGAGAAACTTTGGGTCTGCTTGCCCTGCCCCTGATTGCTAAAGTAGTCCAACCCAGTCATTTCCTTCCAACTACATAATTTCATTAGGAGGTTCCAAAATAAGAAGTTGGATGAAACCTGTACGAAAGTGTAAATTTTCTGAAGTATTCAAAAACAATGACAAATAACATCGATTGCTTTGTGTTTTCACTAGGGTTACAACATTATTAACCTCTCCAATAACTTACACTGCCTCAGTAACAGGAGGAAATATGTCCCTAAAAGTTTATATCCACCTGACAGCTAATGCACAGGAAAATATTTGAATTACTGCACATGGCCAGGATTTTTCTTTTTTGATGTCAAATTTAAGAGAAAGAGCTTTTTAAGTTCTTTCATTTTAATGCAATAAGAGCTGATGTAAAGATATGCTTTTTTATTAATTAGTAGAACTACTTTCAGGTAGAACTTGATATTGTTTGATGTAAGAGAAAGTATCATAGCAAATTAAAATATCCTATTCTTCACATCAGGAGATTGACTAGCAGTACGATAGGGATATTTTAGGCATACTCAAATACTCTTGCCACTCATTTATTTATGAATTATAATAAAAACATCCAATATTTATGTATTTTCCACATTATATAATGTTTAGGTAATACTGCAAAAGTACTTTTAAGTATTTTAGTCATGAGTCCAAGTCCACACTGTTTCACAATTTCTGATAACTAGGATAAATACCATTTCACTTCTGATTTTTATTATCTTTTCTTTAAATGTTTTATTTATTTCTGAGAGAGAGCATGACCAGGGGAGGGTCAGAGAGAGAGGGAGATACAGAATCTGAAACAGGCTCCAGGCTCTGAGCTGGCTGTCAGCACAGAGCCTGACATTGGGCTTGAACCCACGAACCGTGAGATCATGACCGGAGCCGAAGTCAGACGCTTAACAGACTGAGCCACCCAGGTGCCCCTTTATTATCTTTTAATAGTTTCTTTTTTTAAGTTTATTTATTTATCTTGAGAGACAGAGAGAATTAGTGAGGGAGTGGCATGAGAGAGGCAGGGAGAGAAAACTCCAAGGAAGCTCCATGCTGACAATGGGGCTCCATCTTACAAACCATGAGATCATGACCTGAGCTGAAATCAAGAGTCGGATGCTTAACTGACTGAGCCACCCAAGTGCCCCTCACCCCTCCTTTCTGCTTTTTAAATGATTAAAAAATATCCTTTATTAAAGAATTAAATCAATAAGACTCTAGTGAGTAAAATAAATATTATTTTAAAGTAGGTTTTTAAACTTCCAACAAACCAAAGTCCAGGCAAGATGACTTCACTATTCACAGGTTAATTCTACCAAACATTTAAAGAAGAGTTAATGTCCATTCTTCTCAAAATATTTCAAAAACAGTAGAAGGAAAACTTCCAAATTTCTTCTATGGAAACAATATTACCTTGATACCAAAACCAGAAGAAAAAAAAAACTGCAGGCAATATTCCTGATGAACACAGATGCAAAAATTCTCAACAAAATATTAACAAACCAAGTTCACCAATACATTAACAGGACTATTCAATATAATCATGTGGGATTTATACCAGGAGTGGAAGTATGGTTCGATATTTGCAAATCAATGAATGTGATACATCAAATTAACAAGAGACAAAATATTTTTTAAAACATATAATCATTTCAAAAGATGCAGAAAAAAGATTGGACAAAACACAAGATCCATTTGTGACAAAAAAAAAAAAGTTTCAACAAAGTGGGTTCAGAGGAAACATACTTCAACATGAGAAGGTCACATATGAAAAACCCATAGTTTGTCATCATAATGATCATGGTGAAAAACTGAAATCTTTTCCTATAAGATCAAGAATAAGACAAAGCTGCTCACTCTTGCCACTTTAATTCAACATAGTACTGGAAGCCCTAGCTGTAGCAATCAGACAAGAAGAAGAAGTAAGAGGCATCCACATTGGTAAGGAGGAAGTAAAACTGTCACTATTTGCATATGACATGATACTATATATAGAAAATCCCCGAGACTCCAACAAAAACTATTAGAACTAATAAATTAAAACAGTCATAGGACACAAAATTAATATATAGAAATCTATAGTGTTTCAGGACCCTGGGTGGCTTAATTGGTTAAGTGTCCAACTCTTGATTTCATCTCAGGTCATGATCTCACAGTTGTGAGTTCAAGCCCTGCATGGGCTCTGCACTTACAATGTGCTGACTGCTTTGGATTCTTTCTCTCCCTCTCTCTTGGCCTTTGCTCGCTCGCTCTCTCTCTCTCTCTCAAAGTAAATAAATAAAAGCTTTAAAAAAAATCTCTTCAGTTTCTATATACTAATAACAAAGTAGCAGAAAGAGTGATTAAGAAATTAGTCCCATTTACAATTGTACCAAAAAGAATAAGATACCTAGGAATAAATTTAACCAAGGAAATGAAAGACCTATACTCTGAAAACTATATAGCACTCATGAAAGAAATTTAAGATGACACAAACAAAAAGAGAGATATGCATGCTCACGGACTGGAAGAATTAATATTCTTAAAATATTCATACCACCCAAAACTGTCTATGGATTTAAGGCAATCTCCATCAAAATGCCAATAGTATTTTTCACAGAACTAGAACCAACCATCTTAAGATCTATATGGAACCATAAAGACCTCTAACAGCTAAAATAATCCTTATAATGAACAAAGTTGGAAGTATCACAGGTCCAGATTTTAGGACATACTACAAAGCTATAGTAATTAAAACTGTATGGTGCTAGCACAAAAATAGACACATAGATCACTAGAACAGAATAGAGAGTGCCAAAATAAACCCATGTTTATATAATCAATTAATCTATGACAAAGAATATACAATGGGGAAAACACAGTATTTTCAATAAATGGGTATTGAGAAAACAAGAGAGCTACATGCAAAAGAATGAAACTGGACCACTTTCCTACACCATACACAAGAATAAACTCAAAATGGACTAAAGACCTAAATGTGAGACCCAAAGCCATAAAACTCCAAAAAGAAAACATAGGCATTAATCTCTTGGACATTAGCATCAGCAACATTTTTATGGACTGTCTTTCCAAGCAAGGAAAGCTAACGCAAAAATAAATTGGTGGGACCTTGCCAAAATAAAAAGCTTTTGCACAGTGAAGGAATCCATCAATGAAACAAAAAGGCAATCTACTAAATGGAAAAGGATACTTGTAAATGATACATTCAGTTAAGGGGTTAATATCCAAAATATATAAAAGAACTTATCAAACTCAACACTGAAAAAATAAAATAATCTGGTCAAAACTGCCTGAATAAATGTTTTTATAAAGAAAACGTACAGATGGCCAATAGACACATGGAAAGTTGTTCAACATCACTAATCACCAGGGAAATGCAAATCAAACCACAGTGAGACATCACCTCAACCCTATCAGAATGATTAGTATCAAAAGGACAAGAAATAACATGTGTTAGCGAGGATGTGGTGGAAAGGGAACTCTTGGACACCGTTGCTGGGAATATAAATTGGTGTGAAGAAGACATGCAAGAATTCAAGTGTACATTGAAAGATGCATGGGTAAAGAAGATGTGGTGTGTGTGTGTGTGTGTGTGTGTGTGTGTGTATTTACACACATTACTGAATATTACTCAGTCATAAAAAATAATGAGATCTTGCAATTTACAACGTATGGATGGGCCTAGATGGTATTATGCTAAGTGAAATAAGTCAGACAGAGAAAGACAAATACTATAGGATTTCACCCATATGTGGGATCTAACAAACAGCAAAATAATCAAAGCCAAAAAACCAAACAGACTTTAAATGCAGAGAACAAACTAGTGGTTGCCATAGGGGAGGCTACTGGGAGATGGGTGGAATAAGTGAAGAGAATCAAGAGGTGCAAATTCCCAACTGTAGAATAAATAAGTCCCAGAGATAAAAAGTAACATAAGGAATATAGTCAGTGATATTGGAATAACGTATGGTGACAGATGGTGACTACACTTATTGTGGTCACATTGAGTAATGTCCAGAATTGTCAGAGTATGTTGTACACATGAAATAATGTGACATTTTGTGTCAACTATACTTTAATAATAAGACAAGAGAAAAGAAAAAGATGGAGGAAAACAGAAATACCCTTTTAACCATGTGTAAATAAGCATGAATTTATACAGAAAAAAATAGTGCATTAATCACTGCTCTTTATTCATTAAAGAGAAGCTTCAAAGACTTGTATTAATTACTTCTTTGATATTTAAGTGGTGGTAGTAATCATTAAATATATTTTAATTCAGTCATTTTATTAAAAATCCTTCATTTTATTTCCTTCAAATGAGTTTAAATCATTGCAATTAAGCTCTAAGTCCTAATGTGAAATAAGTGATCTTCCAATGGGTTGATCTAATCTACAACTTTTCATTACTTGTTCGTTTTACATATTCTTCAAGTTCCAGTCTATAGAATAAAGATTCCCTATATTCTGGGCCTCAGTGTCTTCACCTCTAAAATGGCCAGATTCTCATATGTGGAAGAAAGCATTTTCTCCTTCTGTACTCAATTCCACTGAAACCCATAAAATTGCATCCACCTGTCTCTCAGCCCCTCACATTCTCTCAGAAAGAGAAAAGACATCTCTTACCAGTGAGACTGGACAAAGTCTCCTGTCTATCCCTCTGAGGCAAGAGTACTGGGTCAGGGGTCAAGGTCTGTCTTCTAGAGGAAGGTCACGAGACCCAACTCCTATAGCCTGCAGTCCCATAGCTCAAAGACATGAGACACAAGTCATCTTGCAGCTGGTTGAGCTCATGACTGTTTCATAGTCTTTCCTTCTACTAAGCACCCCAAAGACTACATTGGAGAGGAAAGGGCTGTGGTGGGGGCCTGGCTTTGTCCATAGATGAGCAGTATCCTCCATTCTCCCTGCACCAGTAATGATGCTATTTAATGTGCATAATACTTCACATCTGTACCATATCCCATTTGATTGTGAACAAGGATAAGGAAAAGTTATAATTCTCAGCTCCTCCAAGACTTGCATAATCTCTTCTGACAGTAATACTTCACTCTTCTGTTGATTTATTATAATTCTCAACTTAGCTTGAAAGATAAAATTGCATTCATTTAAGATAAGAAAAGAAATCCTGGCACGATGCTCAGCATCCCTCCTCATCAGGGAAATACAAATCAAAACCACACTGAGATACCACCTCACACCAGTCAGAGTGGCTAAAATGAGCCAATCAGAGAACTCTAGATGCTGGCGAGGATGTGGAGAAACGGGCACCCTCCTACACTGTTGGTGGGAATGTAAACTGGTGCAGCCCTTCTGGAAAACAGTGTGGAGGTTCCTCAGGAAACTAACAATAGAACTCCCCTATGACCCAGCAATAGCACTGCTAGGAATTTATCCAAGGGATACAGAAATGCTGAGGCATAGGAGCACATGTACCCCAATGTTCATAGCAGCACTCTCCACAATAGCTAAAACATGGAAAGAGC